CTTGAGTTGTGGGGATCGAACCACAGCAACCTGAGCCTGACTGCTTTGTTGAAGCAGCCACTTAAAGAACTGAGCTAAGGGGCAGGCCCCCCCCTATATTTTAAAGATGCATAAAGTGACTTTGGTAGTTTGATTTGGTTAAAGTCACACAGCTGGTTAGTAGTAGAAGAGCTGGCTCTGAGATTCAGGTCCCAGTCCAAGTTAACTATTCTCTCTACTGTACCCTACAGTCACTTTTTTCAGACCTGAATTTTTCCTATGAAATATGATTTAAAACCTTACTTTATGCTCTAGAAACTATACATTTCATAGGGTTCTAGACAAACAATTATCAGAACATAGTATATAAACTTATAGCTTCATAATGACAACAGATGGGGGTGCGATTGTAGACAGAATGGAAGATATAGAGAGGATTGAACAATCTCTGCCAAATATTTGCAGGTGTTAGGACTATAATAAGGCATTGGCCTTGAGAAATATTCCAAACAGAAATATCTATATCCGTATGTACTGCTGAGATAACAAAAAGACTGGAGAGAGTAAGCCTGTATCTACAGAAAAGCAGCTATTTGAAAACATTGGATGATTGATTAGACATTTGGCATCATGAAGCTATGTAGCCCTTGCTTCCAGGGATAGAGAGAACACAAGAGTATTTTATCAAAAGGTGCTTCAGTCTGTGACTAATCAGTAGTTATTGGAGAGAGAAAGGACAGATATTTAGTAGGTCTCCTTTAATATTTTAGAAATGTGCAGAAAATTCTGATTATAATTCAAGTGGAAACTATTTTTACTCATTTTTGGATGAAGAGTGGAAATGTATGAATCATTCCCAACCGTGTGGTTTGTTATGTTGTGTGGAACATCTTGGACTTCGGGAGAAGAGGGAGGTCTGTTTGTGTGTATGTCTGTTGGGGCGGGGAGTCAATTTAGTTTGATGCCAAATGTAGAATGATAGTATTTCTCCATGTTAAACACAGACAAATTCTGACTTTTAGTGCCACATATACTCAATTATTTAGTTTAGTTTTAAATTTAAAAAACATTTAAGATTATCCTCTGAATGTACTTGATTCTTCCCTAAGGATATAAGAGAAAACTGACTGGCAAAAGCTATGAGGAGACTGCCTGAGCATACTCCCCTAGCCTTACGGGGGGCAGGGGAGTTCCGTTAGAGGAGGGGAGGAGTATAAGACACACACACACACACACACACACACACACACACACACACACAATCTCAAAGACTTTGACTCTGACTAGTAACTGATACAGTGATATGGTGTTTATTTTTACTTCTTCTGGAACTTTTTGCTTTTTGGCATTTATGAGACCTTTTATTTATTTAAGTTTTTGGTGGAACCAGGGATTGAACTCAGGCACTTGTGCTTGCCAGGCAAGCGCTTATTCCACTGAGCCATCTCCCCACCCCTTATGAGACCTTTTATATACTGACCTTCTTGACTAGGATTAGTGGCCCCTGATATTTACTTGTTCAACAAAGAATAAATAAGCCATAATGTTATAGATAAAAGGGCAGCATATCAAAAGTTAGCTTGTCTTCTTGGAATAATACAACTAAAAGAAAAGCAAGAACTTGAGGACTAGACAATGAAAAGAGAGCAAGGAGCAGAGCTAAGAAACATGACAAGGCCAAGCCATACAGTTATATGTAGAAGATGGGTAAGGCAATGATCCTGAGAATCTTGCGAAGATTTTTGAATCTAGCAGTTAATTGGAATGATTCTCACCCTGAATAAGTATATATATACATACCTGTGAACTAAGCAACTGCACTGCAGATGGTAATTTATAATAGTAGGTTCATGCTTAGAGTGCCTGTCATTCTGTTCCTCTGAATACAGGCTGCTTGTCATGACATGCCAGTTGCTGCTGTGCTGTCTCTCAGGTAGATGATTGTTCAAAAAGAAGAGGGTGGTAAATGAAGGCAGGAGACAGGAAATGGAATGTTGCAGGACTGTCCTGCTACAAGGTTGTATATGGTTAGGTTTTTGAACTTATGTGTAATCATAAGAAGCATATAATTCTTTATGCCTATTTTTAAAATATATTCTAATTTTTAAATGTTTTTTCATCACATTCTGTAGGGATTTAAAGTTCAAATATCAATACTTGATGAAAAATACCTGTTCCATGTTATGCCTAAGATGTTTGGTATTCAGACAGATAGTGAGGTTAAGCTTAACAGCCTAGGTTGTATGGTAATAACAATAAGCTTCTCTTCTGGAGGCTTAACAACTTAAATTTGCAGACCAAAATTAGAGAAAAAGGAGGGCTGCAAGGAAAGCCAACATTTTGGCCTTAGCCTTCCAAGGTTAATTAAGACTCAGGACATATGAGAACTTGTACTGTAACGTCATGTAACTCAGTAGTGTCCCAAATTTTCTGATCCAGGAGATTATGGGGTCAAAGAGGAAAGTGATTGATGATGTAGAGTGTGCCTAAGGAGAGTCACATGTAGAGAAAACATTCTCTCAGGCTTTAACGGGGAGCACATTGGCCAAGCAATGGCCATGACTCATCCAAATGGCTGACACTGACAAAGGATCTACAATCTGAGGTACAGGATCTCAGGATAAATCCTGAGGGGATTTCACTGACCTTATCAGACCCAAAAGCTACAACTCCTGTTGCATAGGTCCTGCTTTATCTTGGTCTTAGCCATCCAGCAAAAAAGTATAAAAACGAAGTATAAGAAGTAAAGCCATGGTGTTGTGTTGAGCTGTAGGGGACTCAGGTCAACAATTTCTGACATTGCCAGTCAAGCAGAAAATCCAATACTATTATGGACTACTGGACTCTTTTAGAATATTTTGCTGAGTTCACACACCTATAATATTCAAATGACGGAACTAAACAAAAAAGCGGATACAGATGAATGTCCATTTTGTATCTG